GTAATTTGCAAATGGGAAAATGCACCATCAAGAGATATTGGTTTTTCTTGAAAATGGTATTGCATGATTACACTTACTTTCCCTTAAGAGCGTTGCACGCAGAAGCGTCGCTAGGCGTTGGCACGCGGGGTCCTTGCTCAGATATCATTTGACAGTGCCTCAAATCTACAGTTGGTGTGTTGAAAAATTAGTATAGTCTTGTCTTTGTTGGTGTTTGGTCGTTGTGTACGACCTAGAAGAGTCAGGTTCAATTTAGACCTCTTCCTCTCAAGCAATATAGAAAACCTTGATCGATAACATACTAAAACGCCGAAAACTCCCGCGCATATGAGCCCGAACCCCGAATCTTTCAAGTACCTAGAGATGCCGCTGGTTGCACCGATAATAAATTGATTTTTTTCTATTAAATTTGTGGTAAATACATTAAATAAATTAAGAATAACTCGGCAAAATTCACTCGACATCATCATATGTACACTTTTATTAATTATGGGTACACCGACATGCCATCGGAACATTTATTACAGCTAACATTTAGGATAAAAAGAATAAATAAGTTTTCAAACATAATTATAATGTTTCAGTTGAGTTCACCATCATTATCATACTCCTTCCGCTCTGTATAATTGAAGACACACCGAAACCGATATTGAATCGAAATTTTTATTGAGACTACAAACTTGAATAATAGTAAAGAATAGATTCATAAAAATATGAAGTATCGGCAAAGTTCACCTGGCATCATAAACATATTCACTTTCATTGATAAATAGTAGCTCAACCTTAAATCAAAACTTTTCATACTGATAACACTGGAATGAAAATGGTCAATAAACGGATTGCAAAAAAGAGAACGTTTTAACGAAGTTCATGTGGCATTATAATCATCATACTCATTCTGTAAATAATAATTTGTTTATGATGCATAAAGATGAAACCTGGACTCTCCACGAACCTATTATAAAAGATAACGTAATGCTACTTTAAGAATATTCCTCTTCTTAAACATTATTCACATTTGGTAAAGCATGCATGAGTTTGAAAGGTTGGCCCGCATGCATCACCTAGTGATTTTCGTTACAATGTAAAATAATGCTAACAAAACTAGTTACAAGGGTTCTAAATGGAGTTCAGTTTAAACAAGTTTGTTGATTAAAAAGAACGGCTTGAAGTTATGAACCAACTCTGCTTTATCAAGTCCAACCCATGTATCTAAATATTTTACAAGAATTTGACAAAAGTTAGAATAATGTATTTACGATAAGACTTAACCACGTGGCACTTTCAAAATAAATATTGTAAAAGAAAGTTGAAACATTATTGTAACGGGTAACGTTTGTTATTACTTTGTGTTTATCACTCATTTTTAACACCGTATTTGTAATAAATCTTTCAAAATTAGAAGGGTACGTATTCTCTCAAGACCACTTTGCTTTGATTGTGGCAAGTCATGTATCTGTTTGCATCAGTAATGTATAATCTAGTAAATTTTACCAATTACCCAGTGGATAATTCGTGTGCCCTTTCAAAAACTGAGATCGTCCTAGCTTAAAAATTATTTTTGCAACAGTTGACGTGATTTTTTTTCTTGTTTTATTAGTATAGATTATTTCTGTCTAGTGATATGCTACAGAATTGCAAACTTTACCCAGTTTTAGTTATTTGCAACATAGTGCTTTTTCTAATTTAATTGAAACTCCCTTTTGTTTGTTTTATAATTTTTACACAAGGGCTTTCTGCGCATAATTGTCCCTGATTTTGAATAGATAGTCTAGAAGAAAGGTAGGTAATCAACACTCGAAAGCGTTCATTGCCAACCTATGGGCTAGTCGTTTCTGGCCGAATAGTGAGATTTGACCGACACTCTTACTGTTTGTGTAGTCAATTCGTCTAAAGCGCGGAGCGCGTTTTTATGGCAACAGAACGCGTAAAATAAAGATGTATACATATTTTAAGAAACGAAAAGTACATGTTAGCGTTGAGAAGTCACGCGCTTTAGTCTGTTTAAGTTTATGCTAGCTTAGTAGAATAAAATTGATTTTACCGTAGTTTCTTTTTGTGAGTAATTTTCACAATGTTACCTCAGTAATTACTTTTAGATTAATTGCTCTCTCAAAGCGTGTGTATTTCTCCGATATTTGATTATGGTAATTTCTTTTACTCTCACCACAGAAAGAGCTAAAAGAACAAAGTATAACGTATCAAGATGTTAATAAATCTAGCCTAGTGAGGGCTTTGAGCACCTAGGGTTAAGAAACTGCGTTTGAAATTTACCGATCAGAAAAACAAAAAAGCTAATACGATGTACCGAATTATTTTTTACTCATATCAGCCATTTCTTTCAAATCAATAATGATTGCAATTTTGACTGCACTTGCAAAATTTGAATTTAAAATAGAGAGAGACTGTTTGGGATTTCCTGATACGTATAAAATATTTTTGTTTTTAAACAACAGCACCAACATAAATCTACTATAATGCTAAGCTACACCAAAGCAAGTGAAAAGGACCACGATATAAGTATAACACTAGGTTGTATAGGAGACATGACTTTGTTAGTATATGAGAACAATCAAACTGTAGGCGAGTTTGTTTTAATTTTTCACCATTTCTTAAATGTAGAGGAAGATACTAAAACAGTGATTGTTTGTGGATTGTGGTGTGGACCAAAGCAGCAAGTTAGGCTTTATTTGTTTGTAATTAAGTACAAAGCTACACAATGGGATATCTGTGCTCTGCCCACCACGGGTATCGAAACCCGGATTCTAGCGTTGTAATTCCGCAGACATACCTGCTGTGCCACTGGGGGGCAGTTAGGCTTTAAGCTGGAAAACTATAAAACAGTTTAGATTTCAAACTGAGAACCTATTACACCAGTCCTATACAAAAGAAGATAGTTTATAAGTGTAACACCAGAATTCTGCGTTATTTTAATGGTGAGGCTAATCTTGTAAACAAAAACATAATAATTGAAAGTTCAAGAAATTTCAATTTAAAGTTTAGTTAAGAAAAACCATTGAGATGAGAGAAATAAAAAAAAACATTTGATACTAATATTTATTTATATTACATAGTTATCGTTCAGTTGCTCAGAGGTATGTAATTGCCAAAGGCATATATATGCAGTTCTACATTGCAACTCATCTGGCCTATATTTTAGATACATTAACATGGGTAAAAATGTAACAGTATAAACAAAATATTACAATTAGGGTTATACAAAAACAATTTAATAAATATAACAACAGAAAAAAAAAGTTTTAAAACAATTAAGAATACACATTTTACCATTTGTAAGAAAATTTCAATGTGACTAATTTCAATAAACATCAAAGGAATTAGCAAAAAAAACCAGAAGAATAAAAACCTAATTCATCAGAATATAACACAATGTTTCAAAATTAAACCACTTCTCAATATCAAGAACCATATTGAGCAGTATAATTCTTTTTTAACTGTATCTCATGAACTAGCTCATTTTCAAGATCAAGAAAGATTTTTTATTTAATTGTTAGACCATGAGGTTATGTTGCATGTGATTATTAGCTATTACCATAAATCTAAATAATCTTTCACAACATCAGTATTTGCTAGGGGAAGCTTGTGTCAGTTTCATGATACTGTTACGACATCGAGGTCACGTGACTAGCACCACGTCACGTCATTCTCGAACTTTCACATCTTTTCCTTAAATCTCGTGATCTGTCTAGATATAGTGTAGTCTTCTATATATATATATAAGACCGGCCACGAAGCGACGCAGAGGTAATGAGTAATTGAATGTATGCGGATAAAATATTGTTGGCCACGTGAGACGTGGGTTATAGCGTTGTTATAGAGCGACTGTTGAAATTAAGTGTATCATAAAGTTGTATTCGGAAAGAATAAACCAGTTTTATTTAAGAAAGGACTTGTATCGCTAAAGTTTCGTCGGAACGAATTTACGGAAAATTAACTAACGAACAGAGACGTAACAATACATATATACTCAAAATCCAAATTGAACTAAATGATAGAAGGAATAATAAATGAACAGTAAGCAAAAGTAAAATACTGCTACTTAAAATCTTGATATGGTTTAACACATTAATCATAAAGTTGGAAAATTGGAGTAATTATTTCTGTTAGCTCCGAAAGGAGACAGAAAAAATATAAAGGAACTAAAAACATAAGGATACAAATTGGTATAGTGTTAAAATACTGGCTTATTATCCCCATTTTTTATGTTATTTGAATTATGATAACATATTTTACTCTTACAATTGAAAGTGTTATAATACAAAATATAATACATTAATTAGTACATTAAGAAATCTGCTCTGACCAAGTCATGAATTTGGGTCCTTTCACCTAACACTTGTGTCTTAAGACATGTTTTTACCAACTGAGGTTTCAGGGCTCAAGTCTTAAGCAGACACAAAATGACTCTCTTGAATGTGCAAAAAATAATTTTGGACTTAGTATCTGACTGTAAGAAAAAATGTTGCTTTACAAGTAATACAAATATACTTTGTAGAAATATTTTAATATTTGCAAATGTGTTTTGGTGTTTCAAATACTTAAGGATTGTATTTTGAATAATTTCTCTTTTTCACTTTTAAATAAGTTTCGAAGCTCCCTAGTGGATCAGCAGTCTACTAGCTTATGATGGTAAAAACCACATTTCGATACTCGTAATGGAGCCCCCCAGTGGCACAGCGGTATATCTGCGGATTTACAACGCTAGAAACCGGGTTTCGATACCCGTGGTGGGCAGAGCACAGATAGCCCATTGTGTAACTTTGTGCATAAATTCAAACAAACTCGTAATGGATGCAGCACAGATAATTAACACATTGTGTACCTATGTGCTCAACAAAAGACAAACTATATATTCTGCTTTTATTGTTGTCACCAAAGTTTTTATTGGGTAAATTTTTGCAGTAAAATTTATATGTGGTTATATAAACATATGGATTTCTGAATGTTGTATGTTTTTCTTAACTTCTTTTATAACTCAGTGGACTTTCTCACAGAGAATAGAATTAAAGGAAGAGCTTCAAAAAGAAAAGATGCATCGACTAGAAGTAGAAGCATGTCTCAAAGAGGTGCGGGTAGAAAGTCAACGTTGTAAGATTCATTTAGCAAGTTTGCAAGAAGATTTTCAACAGTAAGTATGTGATCACATTTAAGTATATGTGGAAAATGTGATGTAAGTTGTATTTTACAAAAAACCTTAAATAAGTTCCATAAAATATACTTTAATTCATCTAATGAAATGTCATATATATATATTGTTGAAAATGTGCAAAATAAATTATTGCTGTAGTTTATTTACAAAAATAAAATTACATGTTAAAATAACTTTTCAAGGACTTAAAATCAAACAGTTGTATGAGAAATTGGTAACAGATTTGTGTCTGACAACTGTCCACATAATTGTTGTGATTAAAACTGCAATTAGATTATTTTGGCTGTAGGAAAACCGCCAAATATATTTTTTTTTTAGATAATAACTTCCATTTAGTGATTCTAAGTTTCTCACCAGTACTCTTACATACTGTTACGACAGCGGAAGTCACGTGACTCTAGTAAAACGTCATGTACTTCTAAAACGTTCATGAAACCTCGAGAGGTTACTAGATTCGGTATTCTTGTACATATAAGACGGTCAAGACGTGACGGCAACAATTGAACTGCGGACAGAGAGGCGTATTGTTGAGTCGAGCACGTGAGACATTTGTTGTGAATTATTGCGTTTGTTATAGCGCGACAGTGGAAATTAAGTGTATTGCAAAGTTGTATTTAGAAAGAATAAACCAGTTTTATTTAAGAAAGGACATGTATCGCTAAAGTTTCTTCGGAAAGAAATTATACGGAAAATTAACTAATGAACGGAGGTGTAACAAATTAGTGTCAGAAGTGGGATGGAAAAGAAAGAAAAAAAATGGAAACGATAAGCGGCAAATCAAACTACAGCTTAGCAGATTTGGTGGCAGCAATACAAGAGCAGCAAAAGAAACAAGAAGAACGAGAAAATAAACAAGAAGAGAGATTACAGCAGTGACAACCAGAACAAGAAAGGAAACAGGAAGAAAGTCTCCAACAGTTCCAGGAAAGTCAGCAGCAACTACAGGAAAGTCAACAACACTGGCAAGAAGTACAGATGGAAACATTAGTAAATTTAAAAGCGAATTAGATACATTAAAGAATGATTTATTGCCTTTTACACAAGGAGGATACATTAATCGTCGACTTAATCAGCCCCAGACAATGGCAAGCCCCTTCCAGACCCCGCAGCTAAACCCTAATGCAGACATCTTCAGTTCTGTTAGAAGTCACATCCCAGATATGAATGTCAGCGATAGGGATGAACTAATATGAAGGAAGCCACAGTAATTCGATGGGAAGACACCATGGGAAGCATATAAGGCACAATTTCAGCTCCTGGCAGAAATGAATGGATGGACAGAGGAGCAGAATGCAGTATATCTGGCAACGAGCTCGAAGGGCCAACGACTGGAAATACTTGGACAGTTGTCGGCAGACAACAGGCACAACTATAGAGCACTGGTAGCGGCTCTAGAACTCAGGTACGGAACCCAAAATCAGTCTGAAGTCTACAGGGCTAGGTTTAGGACGAGAGTCCGTGCTAAAGGGGAGAGCGTGCAAGAGCTGGCACAGGACTTGGAAAGTATGGCACACAAGGCCTACCCAACTGTGGCACCCGTTCTCCTCAAGTTGTTGCTGAGAGATCAGTTTGTA